GTTTGGGGGATGTTCTCCTGAAACAGAAGCTCTTTTCCAGCCCCAAATTCAAAGTGAGTTGTTGAAACATTTAAACTTAAAACATAGTTTAGAAGTTGGCTGTTGTGTAGGCCGCATCGCGATGGGTATATCGGAAAGCCAACGATCCATGTTAAAATAGCTTCTTTGGCAAATTTAACAGAGACAAGGAAACTGGAGGAGCAAAACAATGCCTGACATAAAAAGTGCTAAAAAATTCCATGCCAGTTTTTTTCTTCTTAAACAGCTTTGCTGAAGTTCAGGCAGAGATGCGGGTCAGGGTCTAATCGCAGCAAATCAGACTGAATAACTATCTAAAAACCAAACCCAGCAGCAATCATGGAAATGCAGGGTTGGATGGGACCTCGAGAAGGCAGCAAGGTCGGCCCGCTGCGCTGAACGAGATGCATCCTTTGTAACTGGCTAGCAGCACAAACTCCATAACAGGGGTACCTGGTTCCTTTTCCCTCTTCTCTATACAGCCAAGTGGCCGCTGAGTCCATTCCACACTGCTACTGCGATCTTGGACCCGGGTTTTCGCAACCACTCTATCGAAGACGGACAGGAGCGTCGCGCAATAAAGAGGCGCAAAGCGTCAACACAGCGTTCGCTCGGGGTTGCTAGCCAATCCGCGTCGCCTGAGTCCTATATCCCGCCTTCCGAGGAGAGGCTCTGCCCCGGCCCAACGGCCATGTTGAGTGTGGCAGAAGCGCTGCTCCGTCCGGGGCTGCCCCTGCGCCCGCTCCCCTCGCCCCATTCCTGCGACTGGCACCGGGAATTGCCTTATGAAGGTGCTGCGGTGGCGGCTCGGCTGGATCCGGCCTTCTAAAGCTCCTGGCAGGGAAAAAGCCGAATGATTGCCCCATGAAGGGCTCCGGGCGCCATTTTGAGTGTGGCACGTTCCTCTACCCCCCCCCCTTCCCTGCTCAGCTGCCTCCATTGCGCTCAATTGCAGCTTGAAACGGGACTTTCTGCCGGTTCGACTGCACCCGGCCCGGCTGGGAGGGGGCCGGGGTGTGTGACACGGACACAGCTTCGTGCAAAACGTGGGGAATTGCAAAAAAATTGGGCGATTTTCAAACAAAAAATTGTAATGTGGCTTTTAAAAAATGCAAAAAAAAAGAAATTATTTTCTCTATCTCCGCCCAATTTGATTTATTCCACTGTATGATGTTAAGGCTGGGGGATTTCTCGCTCTCATTCCCCTTCCCACCCCTTTTGCAAAGTTACGGGGAGGGGGGGAGTGGTAAGGCTCTAGCAAAAGGGGAAAAAAATCCTCGATGCAGGTTGGGTTTTTTAAAAATTATTATTCACAGATTAACTTGTGTAAATTTCTTGCTGTCGGGGAAAATAAGTTTTGGGTTTTAAACGAGCTTTAAAAGGGTAATGCAGGGTGAGAGCGTTAATAGCCAGGTGGGAAAGAGGCTGGATCCCCCTCCCCCCCCCAAAAAAGTGTGAAATTGGGGGGGAAATCGGAACTGTATTTTTTTTAAACGGTAATTTCCTGTTTTTTTAGGAAGGGGGGAGTTTTTGTTATGGTGTGGCTGGATCGTAAAAGGTTCAATCACCACTAAGATAAAGGGAGTATGTGCCGCGGGGAGGGATTGCTTATTCTTTCGTGGCTTGTGGATTGAAACCCCGACCTCCTCTCCCTTGAGTTGGAAAGTCCCAGCCCGTGTGAGGTTTTTCAGAGGGACGAACGCTGCTTTGGGGCTTTAATCCGCGAAAGGCGGAATAAACCTCCCCCCGGGTGTAAAACGGGCGGCTGCTCTTTGCAAGGGGGGCGCTTAACGTAGAGGCGGATTTCTTTTGCAGCAACTTTTTCAATGCCCCCTCCCCTTGCCGAGTGGGGGTTGCTGCCCTAATGGCAGCCGAGACCTGCTGAAGCCGGCGGCGGCACCGCGGCTGCAGGAGAGAGACGCAAGCAGAGACAAGGTGGGGGGTGGGGGGGAGGTTTCTCCTGCTTAGTTCCTCTGTTCCAGCCTGCCGCTAACAATGCAACCCAGGGCTCTGCGTTTTGCACGCGGCATGCGGAGCGCTTTCCCTGCGGAGGGAGGGAGGAAGGGGGCGGAGAGAAGCAACCACGCCGTTGCCGCGCTCCGCATGCTGAGGCCAGGCGCAAACTCATTGCATCCCCGGGGCGGCTCTGCCGCTTTAAGTCGCCTTGCCCATTGTTTGCCCCCCGACCAATGGCCGGGCCCAGCTCCCCTCCGGCTGGCCAATGGGGACGGCGCAGGGGAGTGAGCGCGCCGCCCACTAATCTATATTAAAGCTAGTGGCGCCGCGTGAGTTCTCCACTGGCTCTGGCCAAAGCCATCTTTGCATTGTTCCTGCCCTGCTCTGCTCCTCGGGCGGCCGGACCTGCGCTTCGCTTATTTTTATATCCGAGCTATTTTCTATCCACCGCTCCCCACGCACCATGTCAGACACAGCTGTGGACACCAGCGCGGAGATCTCCACCAAGGTGAGGCTCCAGACCCAGCCTGCCGCTCCCCCCACCCTCGTTTTTTCCGCCTTTTTTTTTTTGTTTTGTTACGGTGTGTTCCCAAGTACCGTTTTGTCTTGCGGGGGGCGCGCGGGAGGTGGGGGGACCTGCTGTGTTTTCTTTTTTTGCTTTTCTCTTTGTCTACAAGGGGTGGGGGAAGGGAGCGTGATTTGTCTCTTAAATGTTGCAAAGCTCGAGTGGGGTTGTTGGTTTTTTTTGTTTGTGTTTGGTGGGCGAGGGGGGAGTTTTGTAAAGTCTTCTGCTGGAGGGGGTTTGCTGTGTGTGTTGTGTTTCAACGAGGCATTTAAAAAGCGCCCTCTAATTGTGTTGATGTTGCCTGTCTGGAAATCTCTCTCCATTCAAATCGCCTCGCCGCTTGACAGCCCCCCATCAAAGTTGGATCCCACTTCAGTCCTCTTGCCCGAGAGAGGGGAAATAACCTGCCTGGAAAGTGGTGGGAAGGGATCCGGCCCGAAACACCCACTTTTTAATGGGGATTGATCCCAGCTCCCCCCCCCCACCCTTCTTTTGAAATGAAGCGGGCGAGAAACGAAACGTTTGTTGGAGGGCGGTCGGCTGGGTCGGGCATTTAAAAAAAAAAACAACCAACCCATCACCCAAACAAACAAACAACCCGATCACTTTAATTGCACGGAAATAACTTTACAACTCGGTGGAGGCGAATAATCGGAAGCGATTTCCTTGGATGGCCGGCGGGGGGGCGAGACTTGACTTTGATGGGGAGACGCTTGGATTTGACTGCAAATGTTTGTGGCGATCTGCGCGGGTTCTTTGTTTAATGATGCCAGGAAGCGAGCATGCCGGGCCGGCGAAAGAGCGTGGCTTTCCCTCTCGGGGATCGCAGCCCCAGATACCTTTCAGTGGCAGCCCGGCTCCCCAGCCGAGGACGGAGCCCGGTCCCCCCCCCCTCTTTTTTTTTCTTTCCTTTTAAGCGGGTTAAGATCTCCATCAGGCTGCAGGGCTTTTAACTCCAGTTAAAGACCGATTAACCTTGTGGGGCAAAAGGAGGGAGGCGAAGGGAGGGACCCCGCACTGTTTTAATCAGAAGCTTAAATCACTTGCGCTCTGCCCCCCCCTCCCCCTTTCCCCATGGGGTTTGCCCTCCGAGCTGGGCTCCCCAGGGGAGGGGGAGCTGGCGAGCAGCGGGTGTCCCATCCGCTGCCGCCTCCACGGAGGTGAAGCCTAAGGACAGAACGTGGCTCGAGCGGGGAGAGATTGTCAGGGAGCCCACGCGTGCGAGTGGGTGGGAGTCCGGGGGGGGGGAAGAGGGGAGTGTGAAACTTCCAGCCACAGCTTGTGGGGGGGAGGGGGGGAGCCTCCGGCCCCGACTGGCAGAGTCCGAAGTGGCCGGGTTTGGATACAGCGTAGCGAGCGGTGGATACAATGTAGCGAGGGTCACCCCACGCGGTACCAGCCCCCGCTTTGCTGGGGGGTTCGCGGCTTCTCCCCGCACTCCGGGCCGATCACTGCAGCGGACCGGGGGGGGGAGTTGCGGCCATGGCGTGGAGTCCCCAACCCCGGCGGGCGGGCGGGGGTTCTCTGGCCCCGGGAAGGGGGGGGGGACGCCGCTCTCCTCTGGGCATTTATCTGGGTTTC